ACATTACTTGAACTTTAAAAAATAATAATGACTTCCTCTTATTAGTAAATTATTCTAAACATTGTTTACTTCTTTCTGCTTTAACCTCAATGCAAATTATTTGATGAGGCTTGCAATTGTTAGAAATTAAGAGATGTTGTATACTATGTTGGGTTGAAAAGTACTTCAAAATCATGAAATTTATTAGTTTCTTTGTACTTGCTCTAACACTGTTGCACAACAACTCTTCAACAATTTTATTATCATAACTAAATGATGAAACTAATGGTTAGCGCACACGAGTGCTCCCAGCTGAGCAAAATTTCATTCTTGTCTCAGCCCGCAGCTTTCGTCGGTTTCCCCCCGCACACGCTAAGCTTAGAGCTTTGGTAAATGGGTGTCGAGTCATAGACGTCTAAAAATAACATTCTCACGTGACTTAAACAAAATGTCGGACGTCAACAACCATTCGAATGATTCAGAATATGAAGAAATTTTACTTCTTCTTTTGTTGTTGCGTCGTCACCAACGAAGAATACTTGCAAGCTCTCGTAAGCTAATACAATGCTTCAGATACAAACTCGCATTCACCAATGGGTGCAGCCATTTTTGTTTGATCACGTGCTAGCGCATGCGCCCCTGTTGAAAGCTTAGAGCTTTCGAGTGCGCACACGGTAAGGTATTTTTCATTCGAGGAAAAAATTATCAAACACGACAGATAATTTCCTTAACGCCTCGAATGAAAAAAACCTTACGTAAACTCCGCGCACACGAGAGCTACGAGCTGAGCTGAGAGGCACGAATGAAATTTTGCTCAGCTGAGAGCTCTCGTGCAATGCTAGCATATAAAGTTGTAGTGTTATCTTGTGATTATAAGACAGTACTTATTCATAAGATGTGAATATTTAAAACTAGTAGACTATACATTGTAAATAAAGAGTTTACCAGTTTATATTATCTAGGCTATATTTGAACAAACTTCATTGTGTATGTTATCATTCTAATTCTATCAACTCCTTACATTTCCAAATAAAACATTTTGAAAATATTAAAGCATTGAAACTTTATCATTAATCTGTTCTTGAGGTAGCAAGGCAGAGTAGGATTGAAATTTGGAAATTTGAAAAAGATAAAAGAAAGTTGTAATAGTGCAAATGGGCAAATTAAATGTAGTAAATTCCTCCAGAATTATAACATGTATAACTGGAAGCCATTGTGGCTCAGATGCATTCTTGGATAAAATTGGCAGAAATAAATCAAGAAAAGATTTCATCTTGTGACATGTAAATTATCATTTAGATGACATGACATAATGTAAGACTAGCTTGCATAACATAATATCACCTGGCATATTGTTATATCAACTGACATCTTGCCAAGTGATGTGTATTGATAAAGGTTGAAGTATCAGTGTAAATAAAAACAGTATTGTTCTTGTTGTTAGGAGACCTTTTAATTGTGTGCTTTCATTTATTCAGAGAAATTTAACCTTCCTTTGGTCTGCTGTCAACATTTCTCAACAGTTTGCATGTCAACATCAGAATATTGTAATGTAGTTAATATCTTGTTACTTTAACATATATAATGAGGATGACAGTAAAGTTAACAGTGATATATAATATGCCACAGTAAGGTGGTCGAGGGGCAGAAATCTGTACCTCCAAGGATATAACAGTAACAAAAAGCCTTTTGTCATGCAATAATCTATAGGAAATGACTCATGATAAACATGGAAATACTTGACAAGGAATTGATGATGTCATATTGTTTTTAAATAGAATTGAGTCAGATTTTAAATAAACACAACATCTGAAGGTCAAGGCTGAATTTCAAATAAACTCTAGATTAATTTATATAGGAAGAGACAATTTCAGCTCAGTGTTTCGTATTGCCAATCATGCCTACTTAATGCATTGCAATAAAAGGCATACGTACAATATGATATGTAATTGTTTTAGTCTGATATGTTTAGTAGGCCTATTGCAAAGTATCATTACTTGATCAAGCCATGCGATGCCCTTGTCAGGACTGAATGTGTGGAATCAGGAGATTGAGGTCATATGTACTTCATGTACACACACAAGTTTCTGCTCCGAAAGACTAAATTGAAAAATATTCTCCATGGATGATTTGCATCACTTTGTAGTAATTCTGAGAACTTTTCATGGAAATCTGCATATGATTTATTTCTAGAAATAGCTTTTAGTCTTCCTTTATCTGATTTTTAACTCTTGATTAGCACAATTTGTAGAAGAGACTGGATGCGTAGGGTGGTAATTGTTGTTTGTACAGACCTAGACTTCAGACTTCCCCTAGTAGAAATCTATAAAAACATTAATTGTAGAAATAATAACATGTTTTTAAAGGTCAGTTTAAATTGTAGAATTATATTTACATCTAACTTACTTGTATCACCAGATGTTAGATAGCATATTCAACCAGAAATCTCTCTTTTTGCTTCTTATATAAAATTGCATGATAGTTTAATGAATAAGATTTGAGCAATTTGTTTTATCATATATGGTAGCAAATTTTTCAACTGCCTTTTGCCTTCAAATGAATCCCATGAGTTAAGTTCAAATGTTGATTGTGTAAAAGTTTTCCTTAAAATACAAGTTAATGTTAATTGGAAGAAGAAAAAGCATCTTAAAATGTATACTAAGCATCAGATCAGAATTTGTTTTAGACTGAAAAGAAGTGCTATTACTATTTCCTGTATTTTTTATTTGTTGGCAGATTTTATTAAGAAAAATACAAGGAAGAGTTTCTTACCCCAATAAATTAATTATTTATGTTCACTGTATGGGAAGTTTTTGCTAAGCCATTTGATATTCATAAACATCCTCAAACATGTAGAACTAAAGTTTTGTGGCAATAGTTTATCAGCAAGGTCATATTCAATGTCATAAAGTTTGATGAATTGTTGATGAACTATATAAGATGTGTTAATGATATTATATAAATATTGTCTAATATTGACTGTTAGATAGATATTATAATATTTCTACTGATATTTCCATTGGTTGTGTAATGTTTCTATTATTTTATGTGGTTTCTAACATATATTGTTGACTAGGATGACAGATACTGACTTCTTTACCAATATATACTGCTAGATTTAGATAATTTGATTGTAGGATCATGATGGACATTGAACATAACCCATTGATTATTGCCTAGTTTGAATTAATTGTTGGAACTGGTGCCCTGGACATGTTAGAAAGGTCTTATTGATGATCTACTTATCTCACAAATATTAATAGCTCAATAATCGTAAACTATTGACTACCTTCCTGACCAGCTGAAATTGTTTCTCTTAGTTTCAGTGTAATATTAGGATAGATGACCATTCTACTTATAGTCCAATACTTGAAATACCACATTCCAATGGTCACCACTAACTATTTCAACTATATTAATGAACTTTTAATTAATATTTGAAGTATATCTTGCCCTACAGCTGAATAGTATACATCAGGAAGTTAGGTTGGTATGATTTGCCAGTTGCAAACAAGTAATGTACAATAATACAAATTCAACAGGTCAAACTAAATTATTTTGTGATATTACTGGAGTCATACCATTTTTTATTCAAGAGGCATGAATGTTAAATTTGCAAAGATATATTCTTGTAGCTGTTCATTTAATTACCTGAAAGATCCTTCAATGTTACCCTGGCAAGCCTTACTTATATATTGTATCAGAATGAAAATTGATTGATAATTCTGGTTAAGTTAAGTTGTATCAGAGCCAAAAAAAACTTGTATATATGCCTGATTCCTGTTTCCTTTACAGCTTCTTAAATTTTTGACATAAGGAAACACTAGATGATATAATCAGTTTATGGAATTATTTAGTTACTGAAGAACAGGATATGTGAAGAGGAAGGGCAGGTAGATCAAACCAACCACAGGAAGTAAGATGAAAGTAGAGATATGAAATAAGAGTTCAATCTTATAATAAACAATCTGTAGAGACCACCTTTCTTTATTAAAACTAACAGTATTAATTGACTAGAGAGGCTGCTGTGAAACTACTCAGTAATTTGAGATCACAGTCAAACTTCTGCCTCATCATGGGAAAATGTTAAAATTCATTTCAGTTTTTTGTTACTAAGGTTTGGTTTTTAGAGGTTCTAGGATGTGAATATGAGAATAGCAATATTTTTATAGAAAGCTGAAGTTGTATTCTCATTTGTTTTACTGGATTAAATCAAGAAACTGTATTTGAAAGACATAAAAAGATAGTTGCTTTGTTGACTGTGTGTATATTGTCTGATGTAACAGCTGAGATTCTGTGTTGTATTATTGAAGCTACAGAAATATAGAAGAATAAAAACCCCATGTGAAAATAGCCATCTCAAATACTAGTGTTTTTATCAAATCTCTAAATCTGATCTTTAATCGTGGATTATTGTACTATTCTACGGATTTGAACGATTTGAGGAGTAAATAGAATTGTTTAAAGAGTCTTTTCATTGTAGCTACACTAAAACTTCTATTGAAATCTTTTGTTTTGTCACAATAGTTCCAATGCTGTCAGTGATCAAGTTCATGTATTGTACAAGGGTTGAATAAATTTTTGACAATTTATATTCAATTATTTGATCAATTTATGGAGTATATATTTTAGATATAAAAGATAAACTTGGATGATGTGTTTATAAAAAGATTTAGTTTCAGAAGTAAAGCTGGAAAATATATTACCTTTATTTTTATATAGATTTAGCTTATGCGCATTTACCATATTTATTTTAATGAAGATTATATTGTCTTTGTGAACAATCTATTCAACAAGAAGTAAATGGTTAATCAATGATTTATAGGAAGGTTCCACATGTAGACAAAGTCTCTAATTAATCAATAATACGTGTTTTGCTTCAGTTCACTCTAATCTGAATATAATATTTAAATGTGATATAACGGTGACAATCTGCTGTTATTAGAGGGTGTGTGGTTATTGTATCTGTTGGTTGAGTCTATAGAGTATATCAAGTAAATTTATTGTATACTATTATTACTATGTCCAGTAATAGTAGCATTGATGAAGAGGAGTTATTTTGGGAGGATTTACCCATAACAAGGAGAGTAGTGAAAGTTTTAACGGTGAGATTTTTTTTCTTTGTTTGAATTTCTAACCGGTATAATCAACAGCTGCCATGTCTGTTATGTTTTTTTATTCCTCTGAGTTAAGTTGACATGCTGGGTTGAAACACTCTCTGTGTTATTTCAAATGCCAAGTTAAATTAAAATATATTTACTATGATGTTACTAGGTCTGTAGGACTTATAAATAAAAGGGTGATTTAGTTGATTTCTCTCAGTTTTGACACAATGATCTATAACAATGCACTCTAGTTTTGTCAGTTGAAAACAGGAAATGATATTTTAGATCCTTGATTCAGTTTTAAAGGTTTAGATATTGAAGGCATAAGGTTCTGTAACTTAGTAAGGCCTATATTGAAAGGTTAAAAAAGGTAATAAAAAGAAATATCTAGAATATATTGAATGAAATATCTAAAATACTACAGTGTTACAGTATATATAGATAACATCATTATGCAAAGTCTAATGCAAATGAATGAACAAAATGACTAATGAACATATTAAATACTAGTTATCATTAGTCAAACAGCTGATGTAATGAGTATTTCATTGTTACTCTGTTCACATTGTTCATGCCAGTCTTTTATTTTCTGATAGTAATTATGATTATGATTAATGATAATTAGAGAGTGTGAATGCAACAGGGTTGGATACAGTTTGGTCAACTTTACTTTAATAGGTTGTTTTTTCTATTCCAATCCTTGATTCAGTTTGAAAGGTTTAGATATTGAAGACATAAGGTTTTGTCAACTTTAGTTTAATAGGTTGTCTTTTCTATTCCAAATTCTGTTTGAAAAAAGTTTTAAATAGTCTCTTTAGACACAAGTCATCATTAATGATTTCAAATCTAACCTTTTAACTCAAAACTTTAGAAATAAAGGTATATATTTTCATGTCTGGTTGGCACATTTTATAGCTTGTCAAGTCTTCATTGTCAAGCCATCTGTAACATTTGTTTTTGTTGATTGGTTAAAGCCTGGTTGAGTTCTAAAAGAATATCTTTACATCATATCTTGTAAACTAGAAAATAAGTGTTCAAATATCGGAATTATAATTATTGTTATTACTATAAACAGCAAATATTAATATCTAATGGTTGAGAGTTCCATTTGTATATGAATGTCCAATACAGTTACAAAACCAACCCTGTTTCAGACACCACTTATTTATCTGAATTTAATTGGGTGTATTTTGTGTATAAAATATCAAAGCCTATCACTAAACCTATCCTTTTTGCCAAGTTCAACAAAACATGAATGAAACTTGAACTAACAGTGGAAATTGGTTCAAGATTATTTAAAGTTACTACAAGAGAAATTTTCTGTTCAAGATAAAGAGACATTCTATATCCTGTATACTTTTTATGGAAAACTCTTTTCTAACTCTTATTAATTCTGCTCAAGGTTCTTAAATGTCTAAGTGGTTGAATGGGCTCTCATTCTGAAAGTTCTGTGAAAGCCTCAAGAACCTGTAACAATTGAGTAGATACTTAACTTTTCCTTTGAAGCTGTGATGTTTTAATTGTCTACTTTGAATTGTAACATCATGGAAACATTGTATAGGCTCATCCTCAAGGAATCTTAAATCCTACAAATTTTAAATAAACTGAACTTATTATGTTAAAATCATTCGTCAAAGTTGCTCATGATCATTTGGAGGCACACTAACTTTCGTTGATCAATGGAGGCACACTAACTTTCGTTGCACATAATTGACAATTATATGTTACCAAAGTTATCAAGAATACTAAAACAGCAAATTTGTGAACATCATAGGATTTTATCACATATTTATGGATTCACCCCTTACTTGAGATGTATTCTTTCAGGGCTTTCAGTGTATCTGAAGACTGTATAATATTTTATCTGAAGGATAAAAGACTCTTCTATTTCTGATATATCTTCATTTTGATTTTGATGTTTATTTTGGTGAAAGTGAAAAGAGCAGGAAAATGACTGATAAACTATGATTTATGTTCTTATTTGTTTACTCTTTTCTAATTTTAGGATCAAGATTTACAACAGAAGATTGATCATGAGATTAAGATGCGAGAAGGAACAGCTAAACTGCTGGCAGCATCTAAACATCCAAATCAGATGCTGGAAGCAGCTAAAAATCTCCTATCATCCAATACCCGTATTATATCTTACATGACAGAATTACAAAAACGAAAAACAGCAGAAGTTTTGGGCAAAAATACGTAAGTGAATATTGTTAAAACTAATCAAGCTTGTCTGCAAATACAGGAATGAAATTTTGTATCCAAGAGCTATATTCTAATAATGTAATTTAAAAAAAAAACTTGTTTGTAGAAGAATTGAAAAAGAAAGTTATATGACTTGATTTTTTTTTTCTTAATCACATGAAGAGACTGCTGAAAACATTCATCATATTTGTGAATCAGGCCCAAGGCATTGTATTTGAAATATCAGTATTTGAATCAACCAATCACAGACTTTCAATTAATATATTTGAAGAATTAAAAACTGAAATAAACACAGACACACTTTATTGGGTTGAGATCAAGGTTGTGATATCTTATATCTATGTTATATTATTTACTCTACAATTTTTGTATTGAGCATTATTTTAACACTGAGAATTCTTTTTGTTATTGTATATTTTGAGTTAGTACTGAGGGAATTTTCTTTTCCATAAAGACCCTAAAAAATTCCAGTAATAATTTTTTAACAACAGTAGGTCTATTGTTTGAGATAAAGGGATAAACTGACAAGGAAATCATAAATGGCCATTACTAATTTGTATGTCTGGATGGTTTAAGTAATGATCAGCTAATAAATGATTAAGTTATAATATATAAGGTTTACCAGACACTTCAACTGGTGGACTGACAAACATTTTAATACCTCATCCCCAGATAATTATTTTATCTCTAGACTTCTCGGTGATTCTATCTGGGGACTGGCATTGCCTGCTTCAGAGTTATAAATATAAATATATCAAAATGTCAAAATGACATTTAAAGATCAAAGTATAAAACGGTCATTGCATTTTTCTCATCCTTTTGATTTGGTTTTCAATTAATAAGGCCATGTACCAAGTATAGCTACAGCAGTTTATATTATTTAGTTTATATATCTTGTAGAGCTCTAGAATGTTACCAATTACCATGTAGAGCTACAGTCAGTTTATCTTTTGTTTTCATCTTTTGTTTATAGAGCTATAGAAGGTAACCAATTACCATGTAGAGCTACAGTCAGTTTATCTGATTTAAGAATACCATTAATGTGGAAAGATTCTGACCATTTTAAAAATAAAGGAGGTATGCCATCTTTTTAATCTTTGAACATCTGCAAATATATTTATTTTTCTGGGGTATAAATCAAAACGTACTAAATACGGAAGACTTTTGTAGTTTATCATAGAGATTCATATTGTAATCTGACTTCTATTCAGAACATTTCAGATTGTTTGTTAGTTAAGGAGGAATACCAGTATCTGAATAAATTTCTTTTTTTATTCTGATAGCATTTCAGGTTGATCTGTATGTTAATATATATCTAATTATTATAGATTATAGAAGATATGCTGTGTTTTGTTTAATTAAAATTGGTACAGAAATCTATGATACATCAATGATCAGTAATGTAGATAGAAGTATGACAGACATTACATTTGAAGATGTTCTTTTATTGTAAGTACCGGTACTATTTTTTCTAGTTTTCATACTATAGAAGTGTAAATGATTGATATTTGCTAAATTTGGCTCTGAAACATATTCAAGAACATGTTATAATTTTTTTATATGATTTATTTTATTTCATTGTTTATTTTATTTCAGTAATAATATTCCACATGATTTTGACTGTAAAGTTGAAGTTTACTGTCACAAATTACATGAAGATCTGTCAATGGCTAACACACCAAAGAAATTACGTAAAAAAATCAATGATTTATCTGGTTCTGTTGGAAGAAGCGTAGGCAAGCGTCTTTCAGGCTTAGTAAGTATATTTTCTTGTGACAGAGATTAATTCCAAACTACATCATACACATGTTTGTTTGCAAAAAGGATAAATAGTTAGTCGTGATGAGTGAAATTAATGACAGTTCTCTACCAATTGAAATTAGTCATACCGGTAAGAATGCAAGTTAGACAGCAAAATTTATGTTGTTTTTGAAGATGCATTTGTTCCATGTTACCCAATTTTTAATCTGCTTTTTTTTATCTGAAAGTAATTGAAAGAAATTGATATATAAGAGGTGTAAAATATTGCAGTAGCCTTATTTATTTGTACTTATTTGTAGACAATGATTGGTATCAAAAACTGTTTTTGTAATTTCAGAATGATTCAGATATAATAGGCAATATGGTTCTGTAAGTATTTGTCTCTAATATTTAATATATTTTAATATTTTAACATGGCAACATAAAGTAATAATCATCCTTTGACAGTTGAAAGTCATCAGTAACCTGTCTAGTCTCTGATGTCTAGACTATACCTGTCTATAAAAAAGATATAGTCTGGGAGTTTTCATTGAATTCTCTGTTACAATGCTTTCAATTGAGTTTTACAATTAAGCATATTCAATCTACAAGTCTCAAACGACTTGTTTACATCAGAAACAAATTGGCAAGCCCCACAAGTTTTGTCAGATTGTCAAATTCACTGAATTTTAATAAGTGTTTCCCATCACCAAATAGGATGTGGATTTACAACCAATCCGATTAATAGCCACTGTAGCCAATTACAAAGATTTTAAGCAACCAGTACAAGCATTCTTTCGTCAAAGCTATGCCGGACTGGAAAGGAGTCCTTTCAAAGGACTGGATGATAGAGTCTAGCCAATGACTGTCGTATGAAAGGTTTTGTCATTGCTTGTAGAATTACCTTCAATTTGATAATTTTGTCATTACAGTGGACCAAAATTTGAGTTGGTAGCTAAAGGTACTATGTCATTAGCAGATGTAGATGATTCGGTCAGAACATTTGATTTACAGTTAGAATCTAATTCAGGTATGATTTATTATTTATTAATAATTTTATTATTCAAATTTCTCATCTTGTAGTGTAAAAACTGCATGATTATGATTATAGCAACCTACAAGGTGATCCACATGCTTACTGGTATTTCTGCTATAACAATTTCCATTAGCCCAGGGATTTCCTTTAAATAAAGTGTCCAAAAGAAACGATACCAACTTATTTTCAAAATTGTTTTTTACTAAGTGAATTGTCTAATATGAAAACATGCCAATTTGTATTGCACATCCCAAACACAGCATAGTCGATAAAAATACCGGGAACATGTGATCACTTCCGGGAAAAAACGTAAATTTCGTGAAAGTGAAATTTCCCTCTCTAGCTTGTTCTGCACGTGCATAAAAACTGTATAAAACGGCTGATCAGACACGTTGATATCACAGTAACAAAAAGAACACAAGATATGCCACGTTTGACAGCCATCGAGAGAGAGAGCCGTTGGAATGGTCCAACAAGGAGCGACACACGTCGACGTCGCCAGAAGGTTGGGCTGCGCACGCATCACTATCACCAGGTTGATGCAGCGGTTACGTTAGACAGGTCAGACGTCAGACAGGCCCAGGAGTGGAAGACCACGAGTAACCACGCCCCGTGAAGATCGTTACATCCGGGTATTACACCTGAGGAACCTCACCGTAACAGCAACGTCCACGACTGCTACAGCACTGGGTCACAGGATCAGTCGACAGACCGTCTACAGGAGACTACGACAGTATGGTATCCGGCCACGTCATCCCTACCGCGGACCGCTCCTGACGCCTCGACACCGTAACAACAGACTGATCTGGGCCAGGCGAGTTCGACGTTGGCAACGGCGGGACTGGGCACGTGTTATGTTCTCTGATGAGAGCAGATTCCTCATCTTCAAAAACGATGGACGGCAGTTTGTATACCGACGATTTGGTGAATGTTTGGCGCCTAACTGTATCCAACAGGTCCGGTTGTTTAGAGGTGGAGGGTTAATGGTTTGGGGTGGCATATGTGGTGACGTCAAAACGAGGCTTGTCGTAATTCGTGGAAACCTGAATGCACAGCGTTATATTGATGACATCCTACGGCCTGTTGTGGTGCCCTTTATTCAGCAACAGCCTCGTGGACTCCTTTTCCAACATGACAATGCAAGGCCACACACAGCAAGATTGACACAGAACTTCCTTGCCAACGTCTACGTACAGGTTTTGCCATGGCTCGCATGTTCACCGGACATGAATCCCATCGAGCACTTATGGGACCACCTCGATCGGCAAATCCGACTTCGCCGTGTGCCTCCAGTCAACGTCCAAGACTTGGAACGATGTCTCCTCGAGGAATGGCAACGCATCACTCCCAACGTTTGACGGCACCAGTCCGTACGGTGCATGTATTGATGCTCATGGTGGACATACCCGCTACTGACTTGACTTTGTGACATGTGGTGTGACATTTCCCATTGTTTCTGTGATCAGTGCTCTAACGAAATGTTAGGCTACAAGGACTTCAATTGGCTTTGATTTCTTATCAGTGGAAGAATAATTTGATATATTTTACATTTCAGATGGCAGTGTTCATGAACTTCCCCTATTTGGTCATTATTGTTGTCGATTAGCTGCATTACCTCACTGTTTAATAGAACCTACAGTTACTGGCTTCTTAAACTTACAGGTTGGTTGAAGATTTACATTTAAACTAGGCACTAGACATTGCCATAGTTAGTTAAAAATTATATGTAAAATTATGTAAGATTTTAGAGAGTTCAGAATCATACATCATAAGCTGATTAAGTCATAAAAATTAAATATATATTGGACCTTTACAGGAAGATGGTGAAGATGACTCGTCCAAATGGAAAAGATATTGGTGTGTTCTTAAAAATTTACAACTAGCTTGTTGGTCATCCCCTAATGATGTGGAGGTCACTCAACCTTTAGTTACTATTCCTGTTACAAAGGTAAGAGAATAATTAGGAATTTTAGAGTTGTTGAATTGCTGTTAAGTTAGCATTGGCATGTAGGTCTAACCTCTAGTGAAAGAGTATTGTTTGTGCAGTTAGTTTGAATAATAATATAAAATATTTGAAATGAAAATCCATGATCTTTCAGATCTGAAATATATACGAATAATACTGGTTCAATGGGAGACAACTCCATTCTTACACATTGGGAAATTTTTTTGTTTGACTGATCAAAAAAGTTAAACCACAATTTGCAGAGCCTCTTAGTTAGTTTTTAACTAGATTATACCTGTAATGAAATAATGATTAATAAAATATCTACATTGTGTCAACCCCACATAAAACATTTAGAATTAGATTTAGATCTTTTTATTTATTTTTGTAGAGTACCCAGATTTGTGATGCCGACCCTTCTACTAGTACACGTTCTAATACATTCCATATAAAAACAACAGATATACATGGTATATCACAAC